TTTGGGCAACTTTCACAGGGATTATGTCAGTCTGTTTTACATTGAAGTCCTACAATTACTAAATTGCTTGGGCCCAGATTGGTAAACAACATGGTGTTGGGGGCATTGTCTACTACCAAGTATTAACTTGGCCCTCTAAGACCTAGGTACACTTCTTGCACGGCCCTATGGTTCACCTTCAGCTGCTAAGATAAATGGAGAAATCAAGAAATCTGGGCTGCTTTTTAGTTTGGTTTGTATTTCTGAGCTTTCATTTCCTCATCTATAAATGGTGAATAATAATAGTCCTTGTCTGGTAGAGTTGTGAGCATTAAATGAGGCAAATAAAGAGATCAGTACTGGAAGGGGCTCAATAAATGCTATCTAAAACAAATAAAATGAGTTGCTACTTTAGTTCCTCTCTTCCTTCAAGCTTGAAACCTTTGTTTAGAAGTAACCCCAGTCATGAGAATTTGTATTTAAGAATAACCACCAAGAAGAAGGAAAAAAAAAGCCTTGGTTTGCACTTAAGATGACCTGATGTGAATTTTCTTCCAACCAGAGTTGGCAGGGTTAATGTGCGCCAGCGGAGAAGCCATGCTGTTACCTTCTGGCAGCCCATATGCAGATGCTGTTGTATTAATTAAAAAGGAAAACTCGATTAATTCGGAAGTCCTTTAAGTGTCAGTGAGGCAGCTGCTCCAGATCTGAAGCCAGTTATTTTTTTCCCTCCTGCTGTCAGTCTGCAGCTTTTAATCTCTTCTTTAGAGAACTGCTAAGACTGCACTGCAGGTCCTTAGATTCCCTGGCTAGTTCAGTCAACTTTCTGATCTGCAGTTATAGTAGTCCAGGGGGAACATGCATAATTACATTAACATATAATTTAAAATAAAGTCAAAACAGCTGGATCAACTACTCATCCCCCTCACATCATTATTTTTCAACAGTTAAAACCTGGATGGTATCCTAGTATTCTAGAACTGGAATGGATGTTAATTGATCTAATCCAACTCCCTCAGTTTACAGATGAGCAATTCAAGACTCAGAAAGATCAAGTAGATTGCCAAGGTCACAGAGTTAGTCAGTGGCAAAGCCTGGGATCAGAATATCTGGCCTCCACTCTAGTGCTGTCCCCTCTTCCATGTTGCAGCCTTATCACTGAGCAGTTTGCCCAGAGAATCAAGGAGTAAAATCATCTACTTTCTTTTTTTTTTTTTTTTGGAGTTGGAGTCTCACTCTGTTGCTCAGACTTGAGTGCAGTGGCACGCTCCTGGCCACTGCAGCCTCACTCTGCTGGGCTCCAGTGATCCTTCCACCTCAGCCTTCCAAGTAGCCAGAACTACAGGTGTGCACTACCACGCCTGGCTAATTTTTGATTTATTGTAGAGATGAGGGCTCACCAAGTTGCCCAAGCGGGTCTCGAACCTGCGGGCACAGGCAATCCACTTGCCTCGGCCTCCCAAAGCTCTGGGATTACAGGCTGAGCCACTGAGCCCAGCTCATCTGCTTTCAACTTCATTTCTCTCCATGCCCTTTTCCAAATCTTGTAGACATGTTGGAGATAAATGAAAAAGTTCAGTATCAGTGGGAGAAGCAAAGGGCTCAGATACCGATGTCCATATTGAAGACCTTTCTTCAGTCCAGTAGGTTGCATGTAGAATCCTAACAGTGTATCAGGTTCTGCTTCAGCCCCTTTCCCACTGTACTGGCCTTTGGTTGTTTTGACAGTAGCAGGTTTATTTGTCTTGACTGCTTTTATAGGAGAGATGGAGGGGGGCAGTGATAATTTGGGTCAGATGAATAATGGGGTGTGTCTACTATGGTTGTGGCTGATGCAGCATGTTTTATTGACTCTCCTGTAGTTGACACTGTGTCAGAGGTGTGGAGGCTTTTCCTTCTGGTCCTGAAAGTGGTTTACTTGGTTTTCTTCTCTATCTACTATAGCAGTAGTAACGAAGCTCATTAAGGTTTGTTGGCTTGTTATTATGATACGGTTTTTATTACAGGAATTTAAAGGTTGTCAGTATGAATATGCATATAGTCACACATGTGAGAATCTGGGGAGGACTAGGAAAAGAGGAAAACCAGGAAACTTAGATGAGAATCTAGCTGGACTTCTTACTATTCAGACTGAAACTATGGTAGCTGAAGTTTTCAAGGTGATGGGTAGGTCCTATTCTTTTGTCCACATCTACTGTTTATGTTGAGTTGAAGGAAGTTTTGGGGAGTGATGGTTGCTCTTAAACTATTCATCATGATACAGGACTATTCGAAGTACTTTGTAGATTCACCTATAGTTTTCTATAGATAGGTCTCCACAATAAATGGATTCTTAGGACAAACACATAAATAACATTAAACCCTTACTGTATATCAGTTATTGTGTTGGGTGATGAGAATACAGAGAAACAGGATGGTTCTTCCTGCTTTGGATAATTATAAACAGATCATTAGAATAAACCATGGTGTTGTATAGTTGTGAATGAGGTATGAGGGGGACTCAGGACTAGCTTGTTGCAATTTGTTAAGTGGTTGTACCAGCAATTGGCTATGTCCCCTTGTTTTTAGATTGTAGATCAAAGCCTGGTGTTTCACTTTTGTGCTTAGTAAACACCTTGCACAGAATTTGGCACTTAGTTAATGCTGTTTGCTTTTTCAAAGGAACCCATCTCTTGTTTCAGTGTCTGGTGTTGCTGATGTATTTGTGCAGGCCAGGGTGATGTACTTATAGACAGACATGAAGGAAGGGCCTTAATGAAATGTGTACAGGGGTCTGGGTGAACACAGACCTCTTTCTTTAACCCATTTGCTGGTGCCATTAGTGAAAGAAAGGGATTCTTGAGGATTTGAAATAGCAGGGTAGGTTCAGTCTGAAGTAGAACCACCTCTTAAATGATTCAGGCCTCTCTTGCTTCAATATCCAAACAAAATAAACAGTCTGCAAAGAGTTTAATGCAGCTTCTTGTTGAGTAACTAAAAGGAATACTGTTTCAGTTAGTGCTACACAAAATTTAAATTATGATATATATATTTAGCTCAAAGATTGATCTTCTTACTGCCTAAGAACTGATGTCTGTGCCTTTCTGCACAAATGGAAGGGTTTCCTGAATTATAGATATAGGCAGGCACTGGTACTGAAAAAAGTGGGAAGTGGTCTAGTTCAGACAGAGAGTTTCAGTAAACTGACTTCTGATTCTTTTTCCCAAACAGAGGTTCTCATACTTCAGGAAGCTTTTTGTTCTCTCTTTTAATGCTATTTAAGTCTGTTTGGGGAAGCTAACTATTTAGATTAGTGGTGGTATCCCTGAAAGGATAATTTTTTAAAAAAATTTAAATGTTTATTGATACATAATAATTATACATATTTATGGGTACATGTGATATTTTGATACATGCACAACAACGTATAATGATAAAATCAGGATAATTAAGATATCCATCAAGAAGAATGTTTTTGAGATAGGTCACATCTCTTCTAGATTTGATTGGATTTTTTTCTAACAGGCCCTTCTTTCCCATTGTCTTACTTGAAGTTTTATCATCCATAAATGGAAGGAATATGATGTGATTAGGAGATATTGATCTTAATTGAACACACGATGTTTTTAAGAAAACAGATGTGCCAGACATGGTGGCTCACGCCTATAATCCCAGCACTTTGAGAGGCTGAGGTGAGAGGATTGCCTGAGCCCACGGGTTCAAGACCAGCGTGGGCAACTTGGCGAGACCTCATCTCTACAATAAATAAAAAAATTAGCCGGGCATGGTGGCGCATGCCTGTAGTTCCAGCTACTTGGAAGGCTGAGGTGGAAGGATCACCTGAGCCCAGCAGGTTGAGGCTGCGGTGGCTTGCACTCCAGCCTGGGCAACAGAGTGAGACTCCAACTCAAAAAAAAAATAAACCAGATGACTTCACAGCTGGGATGCTATCATTAGCTGTCAGAGAGATGAACTGGAAAAGATTTTAGAGCTTATGTAAACTTGAATAACATTTCATTTCTATATATGTAAATTTGCAGATTAGTTCATATATTTAGTTATAAAATATGTCATAAAAGAGTAAAATAAGCTAAAACTGCATGTGGTAGAGAAACTTAAAAGGGCTCCACTGTCTTGTACTATACATTGACATTTTGGTCAAGGCAGTTACAGTATTTTTACTGTACCTTTTCTATATTTACATATACAAATACCATGTGTTACAGTTGCCCACAGTATACAGTAACATGCTATACAGGTTTGTAGCTTAGGACCAATAGGCTATACCATATAGCTTAGATATACCATATAGTAGGCTGCACCATCTAGGAGTGTATAAGTACACCCTGATGTTATTACGACTACGAAATTGCCCGATGATGCATTTCTCAGAACATATGCCTATTGTTAAGCAACACATGACTGTGTGTGTGTGTGTGTGTGTGTGTATGTATATATCGATTTGTATATACATATTATATAGTATTAAGTCTGTCAGAAGGAAGGGTTTACTTTTGACACTTTCTTTTTTTTTTTTTTGAGTCAGAGTCTCACTCTGTTGCCCAGGTTGGAGTGCAGTGGCATGCTTCCACCACCGCAGCCTTGACTAGCTGGGCTCGGGCGATCCTTCCGCCTCTGCCTTCCAAGTAGCTGGAGCCACAGGCACAGCCACACGTGGCTGATTTTTAAAAATTTATTGTAGAGACGAGGGCTCGCCATGTTGCCCAGGCTGGTCTCAAACCCCTGAGCTCAGGCAATCCTCTCGCCTCTGCCTCTCAAAGTGCTGGGATTACAGGCGTGAGCCACACGCCTGGCTACTTTTGACATTTTTCAAGTATGTTTCTCCTTGGACTTAGGTCCCAGTTAGTATAGTCTCTTCTGTCTTCGTCATTTTAAAGATCTTGGGTTTGTGGTGTAGTCCTTGTAAACTCCCTTAGGCTGTCCCTCCACTAAATGAAAAAGGAACAGGAAGGGAAGATCAGGTCACTGCCACCTTTCTGGGTAGAAATAACAACTGTTCCCAGAGAATGAACTAGGAGGGGGAATTCTTTTTGATATTTGAAGAGCCTTTTCTAACTGGGTTTTTTTTCCCCCAATATCTTCTTCAACCAAGTTTTCTAGAAATTTCTGCTCTAGGACCCTGACATCCTAATGGGGTCTCTGTGTGAGTCTCTTTCTCTACCTTCCTCACTCTTCTCTCTCTACTCCTTTCTCCTTCTCCACTCTCCCCTTCCCCAACCAGGCCCGCTGAGCTGCATTTCCTTTCCGCCTAAGGAAGAGAAGTACCTCCAGCAGATTGTGGACTGCCTCCCTTGCATACTGATCCTCGGCCAGGATTGTAATGTCAAGTGCCAGCTGTTGAACCTGCTGTTGGGGGTGCAGGTGCTTCCTACCACCAAGCTGGGCAGTGAGGAGAGCTGTAAGCTTCGGCGCCTCCGCTTCACCTATGGGACTCGGACTCGGGTCAGCCTGGCACTCCCTGGACAGTATGAACTAGTGCACACGCTGGTTGCTCACCAGGGCAACTGGAAGACCATCCCCGAGGAGGACCTGGAGGTCCAAGAGGACAATGAGGACGCTGCTCATGTTTTAGCCGAACTGGAGGTAACGATGCACCATGCTCTCTTACAGGTACCAACCTCATATTTATACACCAATTGTACCTATATATACCAGCTTTTCTTTTGTTTAAACTTTCTCAGAAAGTAACTTGGCAATATAGACTCTGGGCTCTGAGCAGCAGCTGGTAGAGTCAGAGGAGCATGATCAGGGAAGTTGAAAAACAGACAAGGCCAAAGTAAGGCCTGTGCCTGCCTCTGCCTTCTGTGCTACAAGGCCCTGAGTAACTTGCTTGCCTCCTTGCCTCCTCATCTCCTTTTCTAAAATAAAAGGAATATGTGATACTTGCATCTCAACATGCTTTTACAGAATAATTATAATCAAAGTTAGAAATCCTTTCTCATTCTTTCTTTTTTTTGTAATTGGAGTCTCACTCTGTCTCCCAGGCAGTGGCATGATCACGGCTACCACAGCCTCGACCTGCTGGGCTCAGGTGAGCCTTCTGCCTCAACCTTGCAAGTAGCTGTGACTACAGGCATGTGCCACCATGCCTGGCTTTTTTTTTTTTTTGTAGAGACAAGATCTCATCATGTTGCCCAGGCTGAGTACCCTTGCCTCAGCCTCCCAAAGTGCTGGGATTACAAGCGTGAGTCACCATGCCTGGTTCCTTTTCATTTCTTAGCAGGAAGATAATGCTGGAATTGTCTCTAGTCACTTCTTTCTAAAAGGAATGGTAAAGTGATGGGTAATTAATGTTCTTATTATAATTGAGACCATGTGAAGAAATTTGTGAAGGTTTTTCCTTATTTCTAGTCATTAATTTACGAAGTGAGACAGATCATTTTTCCTACTTTATAAGAGACTCCAGGAATCTGTGGACAGGTCTGACTCAATGTAAGAAAACGTGAAGATACTGTCATTTGAAGAATATCTTGGCTTCTGTCTTGAAGTAAACTCCCAAAAGAGAGTACAGATCCTATGGCATCTCCTAAGAGAGCATATTGTCTAGCTAGTCTTCTTATATCCACTTAGGAAAGACTTCTCTCTTGTTCTGAGCTTCCTTTCCTGCTGAAGTCTGGGATCAGAAGTGGGTAGGAATACAAGATGTAGACATGCTCAGAAAAGAGAATTTGTCACATTGGTTGGCTGTGCCAAGAATGATGGGTTCGTTTGGCAGAACTTGGGAGAGTGGTTTCTTCTTCTTTCATATAACCTCTTCATCTACCCCTCTTCTAAAAGACTTAATTTCTCAGTCAATGAATGAGTCCTTTGGTTGTGGCCATGGCCTGTGTCACTCTAGGAGAAACTGTCATCTCGTTTCCTTCCCTAGTCCACATTTCTTTTATCTTGATAAATGCTAGAGGGGGCTAAGAAACAAGCCCCCATTCTTTCTCAGCTCAGTTTCAGTGGTGGGTTTCCTGTGTTTTCAGACTGAGAGTTCATGCTTCTTAGCTCCAGTATACTATGAGAGTCCTTGGATAGCTCTGGCAGTAATCTTTGTTTATTGTCTGTTCACTTGACCCATGAACTTCTTCACAATTGACACGTATGTGATCCATATACAATCTTTCTGTAATATGATGTCCTGATCTAGTTCCTTCAAGTTTCTGATAGCTCAGTGGTTTTTAAACTTTTTTAGATTTAAATTCACTGTAAGAAATACATTTTTTTTTGAGTAGGAGTCTCACTCTGTCACCCAGGGTGGAGTGCAGTGGCATGCTCACAGCCACTACAGTCGTGACCTGCTGGGCTTAGATGATCCTTCCACCTCAGCCTTCCAAGTAGTTGGAACTACAGGTATGCACCACCATACCCAGCTAATTTTTTGATTTATTGTAGAAACAAAGTCTCACCATGTTGCTCAGGCTGGCCTTGAACTTCTGGGCTCAGGCAATCCTCTTGCCTTGGTCTCCCAAAGTGCTGGGATTATATGCGTGAGCCACCGCACTTGGCTAGAAACACATTTTCTTTCAGGACCCAGTATACACACACACACACACACACACACACACACACACACACTTGAAATAAAAATTTCCTAAAATAAACTTTTACTTCCTGCAAAACACACTGATATTTTCTTCTCCCTTCAACATCATTTTTTGAAAATGATAGCAGCAACCCACTAAATTGATGCTATAACCTGATAGATTATGACCTGCAGTTTAAAAACACTGTTAAATAGCTGAAATGACTGCTATAAGTCAAGTGGTGACTTTTCTCATTCTTGCCTTTTTTTTGAGTTGGAGTCTCACTCTGTCGTCCAGACTGGAGTGCAGTGGCACGCTCCCGGCCACCGCAGCCTCCACCTGCTGGGCTCTGGTGATCCTTCCACCTCAAGTAGCCGAAACTACAGGCACATGCTACCACACCTGGCTAATTTTTGATTTATTGTAGAGTGAGGTCTTGCCAAGTTGCCCAGGTGGATCCCGAACCCATGGGCTCAAGCAATCCACTCACCTTGGCCTCCCAAAGTGCTGGAATTACAGGCTGAGCCACCGAACCCGGCCCCATTCTTGCCTTCTAAAAACAATCTTGGAATGTGACAAAGCCATCTGCAGAAGAGGAAAGTTATTTGACTGATTTCTCTGTGTCCTTTCATTTTGTTGGTTTAAATTTCTAATGTTCATTTATTTTTGTTCCTTGAGTTGAGGTGAAGTGATAAAAGAAAGTCACTGGAAGGAAAGTGTGAGCCATTCCCCAAGCATATTTCTTATTATTAAGATATGTATTTAAGTACTTGTACTTATTACTAAGAGCTCCCAGTGCCTGCTCCTGATGTGTGTTAAACATGCAAACTGAGGTGACAAGTGGAGAGGCTACTTGGATAGGACATTGAGATACCAAATCAGCTTTCTCTCAGCACAGTTAATAAATATATGTTCTATGACTGGGCACAGTGGCTCATGCCTGTAATCCCAGCACTTTGGGAGGCCGAGGCAAGAGGATTGCCTGAGTCCAGGGATACAAGATCAGTCTGGGCAACTTGGTGAGACCTCGTCTCTACAATAAATCCAAAAATTAGCCAGGCATGGTCACACATGCCTGTAGTTCTACCTACTTGGAAGGCTGAGACAGAAGGATTGCCTGAGCCCAGCAGGTTGGGGCTGCAGTGGCCATGAGTGTGCCACCGTACTCCAGCCTGGGCAACAGAGTGAGACTCCAACTCAAAAAAAAGAAATTGGCTGGCCATGGTTGCATGTGCCTATGGCACCAGCTACTGGAGAAGCTGAAGTGGAAGGATTATCTGAGCCCAGTAGGTCAAGGCTGTGATGGGTCGTGATGGTGCCACTGCACTTGAGCCTGGGCAACAGAATGAGACCCTGACTCAAAAAAGAAAGGAAGGAAGGAAGAAAGGAAGGAAGGAAGGAAGACATAAATTCTCACTCACTCTTTTCTGTGGAATTCTCTGGCCTGTCATGTTGTTTCATGTGGTTTGTGAGGCTTCCTTGGCCAGTGTTTCTCCAGATCTGCTTTATTCTCCAGTGGTTTTGATGTCAAACTAGTCACAGAGCCCAATGGTTCTAAATTTAGAACCCCTTGATGCTAAGTCTCAGTGGGCCTTGCTGTCTTTGTGGGATCCCAGCACTGCCATCTCACTACAGGCAGGCTCCTCTCTCCATTAACCACATCAGTGATGCGCAGCGCACTGCTGGGAGCATAGCACAGCTACCTGGAAGATTGTTCATGCCAGTGAGAATGATCTTTTTGTTTAGCTCCAATTATATTTAGGACCAGTGAGTTAACTCTTAACAGCCCTTCCATTTGATTTATAAAAGGAGTACTAAAGAAAGGAAATGTTTAGCTAAAGGAAATCAAGCTTGAATTAGGGGAAGTGCAATGTTCATTTTGAACTGTCAAATTATCAAAGCAGAATTTCCCCCTGCCCTTTTATACAATGATCATTCTTCTAATATGTTACTTAAAAGTCCTCATAAATTAGCTATTTTCAGTTTGTTCCAGAATAGTCTAACTCACATGGACACACACTGTTTGGTATTCCCAGCTTTTTAGTTCTGAATCCCCTGAGGTTCTCAGTTCATGATTCAACAATAGAGGATCACTGTTAAGCCATTAGTATCTGAAACCTCATCCAGTGTGAAAACAGTCATCTTCTAACTGGCAGTGCATTTCACCATTCACCGTGTTCACTAGTGCTATCTTTATATACAAAAGTACTTCCCCTTCCCCATCTTCATTCCCTCTTTCTAACACATACATCCACCGCCTCCTTTTCTGTTTTCTTTCTTCTTAGAAATCTGATGGAACAGTTGTCTGTCTAAGAGTTGTCAGTCTGATATATGTGTGTGTGTATTTTTTTTTCCTGTGAGAAAAGGAATAAAAAGCAACAGAGGTGATCAAACTTGTTCAGCCTGAGATGGGATTCCTGCAGCCTAGCAGTGGTATTTCATTTATTGTGGCAGTTACATAGCGTCAGTTGTTCTGCTCTTATCAGTAGTCTGTTTACCCCACCAGGTGCTTTCTGGCCCTTTGGACAAATGTACATGCCACCTAGTAGCCAGACTGCCACACACTGACATGGTTATTGGCTCATGCTGATATCTGGTGGGGTATAGGGACCTGAGGTAGACTAATATTTATTTCCAGGCAAGGTCAATGCCTTGCAAATAATTTTTTTAGACTATTTTAAACTCTAGCCAGTTGGAATAGTGAAGTTTTCTCTTTGTAAGCCTCAATTAATAGTTATCAGTGAAATTTTTAATTATACAGATATTGGTATTTTAAATTTTTTAGCAGTTAATTTTAGAACTCAGAATCATTATCAAGGATCTTAAAATGACAAAAATTTAGACAAAATTTTAGCTCCCAAATTTACTAAACACATTTTGTTATTAACAACTATCTTCAGCTGGGCTCAGGGGCTCAGCCTGTAATCCCAGCACTTTGGGAGGCCGAGGCAAGTGGATTGCCTAAGCCCACCAGTTCGAGACCAGCCCAGGCAACTTGGCGAGACCTCATCTCTACAACAAATCAAAAATTAGCCGGGTGTGGTAGTGTGCTTCTATAGTTCTAGCTACTTGGAAAGCTAAGGTGGAAGGATTGCCTGAGCT